AAAAAAATTCATCAACTTGTGGTTAAAATATAATATAATAATATAATATGGATGCTAATACAATGTAATTTATATTATAATATGAGATTAAATGACTGAATACAACTTTTAACTAATAAACTAATAAACTAAGAAAAATAAACCATGCTTTCAAAATAATTTAACACATATCTTGAAATTCAAAGCAATTCGACGATTGTTTCTAGCATTAATAAAATCTATTGCATTATTTATAATATTTATATAGAGACAGGTTTGTAAAAAACAATTATAAACCCATTAAAAAAAAAATAAAAAATAAAAAAATTAATATTAAAATTTATTTTTAAAATATACTTCAGATACCTCACAAAATACGTATGAAAATTATTTAACAAAGCTTCAATACTTTGTGTAATAAATATCTTACTTTTAAGACTTAATACAATATAATTCTAGACAACCATTTTATATCATAATACCAATCATACGCAAGAAATGTCTAAGTATGTGGATTGTGTTAATGAGTACAATCCACATAGGTAAAAATTACATTTTGGCTACTATAAAAACAATATTTTGGTTTTATAACTTTGCACTTATTTATATTAATTTTTTAGTTATGCGAGAAAAATACATTGTGATTATTTAATTTTATTAGATATTAACTGCATTTATATATACAATTGTAAGCGCCACCCTCTCCCCTCTCATAGAAATATGTTTATTAAGTTCTATTATATTCTTGAAGAGCATAAAATAAAATATACAAAACAGATTACCCCTTTTTTATTTTAATAATGCATTTATTCAAATTATAATTTATAGAATTTTTAAATTTACTTGACAAAAATATTTTAAAACATAAGGCATAAATGTTTCAACAAATTAATAACCAAGAAAATACTCGTTTTAATTTCAATTTATATGCAATATTTAAAAAAAAAAAGTATCTTATAAATTATTTAAAATTAAAAAGGGATAGAAAAATTCCAAAAACTGTATTATTATTAAATTAATTTTTATAAGAAAATCAGCATATCCATCTGTGTGAGTTAAACTGTTTATTGTATGGTGGGTCAACTGTGCAGTTGTAAAAATGACGTGTCACAATAAAGTTCCATCGTAGTGCACATTTTATTCTTTTTTAGCATGTCTGTGGTGGCAATAGCCTTCCTCTTGAACCATTTCACCATGCCGTCAGTACACGAGCCGCACAACGGCACAACACGTGTGAAAAAAAACATGGTTTTTATTACGTAGTGGCGGCAGTGATCCTGTCAGCGATTACCGCCGTCGTCATTGAACTTTTCACAAACCAAACCATCAATTAGGAATGGACGCAATATTTTAATGTTATATTTTGGTACTACACTAAGTACGGATGTCGGACTCTTTTTATTAACATGTTCATGTTTTTTCGAAGTACAAATCACTTGTTTCCGCGACAGCATTTTTCAGAAAAAACAGATAAAGCAGGCTCACAAACATTATAGTTGGCAAGTTGTTAGGAAGAAGTTGAATGAATAAGGAAATTATAATTATTAAAGCTACATCATAGTTTGCAGTATCTCGAGGTGGTTGATTTTTATTAAGCGGAGTTGAGGGATATGGAGACGAGAGTATTTAGTGAAGTGGGTTTCGGTTATTAATGCAACATCTATTTGATGATTTTTCAAAACAAATTGGAGTTCGTTGATGAGGTTTTTGTGATCATTTGCATTAAATTGTTAAAATTGATTATAATTGAGTTATTCATTGTTTTCTGTCTAATAATAAGTAATGACTGAGATAATTATTTTTGTGTTTAACGAACTTAGTGGATTACAAATGTTTTAAACTCACTTAAAAAAACTTGTCATTAGAGTATTAATATTATGAACTTGAGGGGGTAAGACTGGCACTTAAGAGAGTGTAGTTAAGTTGAAAAGATTGGCTGAAAGCTATCTCTGCATAAGTGATTAGTTGTGCTGGAAGGTGCTTAATAAAAGTAAAATTTCATAGGTGACACACATTTTTAGATTCAAGATTATTATTTGTATAATATCTAATGTATTATTACAAAAACAATTTTTATTTTTTATGTTGGAGTTCTTATTACGTTGTAGATTTTTATAACTTGCGTGATGATTTTTTTAGCATAGTCCACATATAGGGGTTCTTCATGATAATTTGGGAAGGGAAATGAATGATGATCATTCCCACAACGCAATACGCAACTAGACGAGAACCCACAATAAGTATTTACTTGTTCATAATATTTACAGTTCACAGATTCAGAGATAGTTTTGGATTTGTGGATTCTTCAACCCATAGTGTGGAGTAAGGTAGTGAGTTGAAAGATTTTGTTTGATTGAGTCGTTGGTTCTAAGTCGGTAAAGAAGAAAGGAAATGGGTTTTGTTGAGTATGTATAGGACTAGCGTTACTTTTCTGACCTCAAATATTAAGCCAGATGGCGTGGTTGGGTTTAAACTACAAATTAATACTCAAGAGTATTTATTTTGTCTGTATTTAATTAGTAAGTGAGTAATTCAGTATTTTCTTTTTTTTTAGAAATTGAACAAGCGCTATACGAGGATATGACTCGGGATTTGTAGTTTGAATTTTTAATTATTCGACTATAGATTTGCGTCGATCAGTTTAATTAATTTTATAAATTCACCATGAAATTGTCCACGTCTATCGTGAATATAGAAGGGAAATAATACGTTTAATAGTTAAATTGACTTTTAATTCAATAAATGAAGTTTGTACGTCCTTAGCAGAGGACTTGAGTGATTGTTTCATCGAACTGAATACTTTTTGAAGAAAACCGATTTTTATTTACATGTTTGACGCACTTGAAGCAACAATAGTTGATCAAAGTTTGTGTACAAAGAGTTTAAATGAGTTCTTTTAGACGTTCGAGTAGTCCAATAGTTATTTTCCATGAGATTAAGTAAGGTCATATCGGAGTTAATGGTTTTTGTAGTTTAATTTGTATTATTATTCTGATTTGTTTGGTTTACGTGTTTATTTGATAGTATCAATATCTTGAATTTATTTTTGTTATTCATATTGGACGAAGTAGTAGACATTGAGGAGGTGATAATGATAATTAGACTATTGGGCGACGGCCTTCAGATAAAAACACGATAATAATGATTATGGCGTGGTAATTGTGGATTATAATATGTTATTTAATATTTCATCGTAGGAAGTATATATTCTGATATTTAAATGAGAATGCACAAAGAAAAATAACTAAATAACATTTTTATAAGTTAAAGAGACAATGATGATTAATAGTACATTATTATAAAGAATTAAATAAAAAATAATGAGCTCGTTGAATATAACGCAGTAATTGATACGACGGATCACAAGATGATAACGCATATGTGCATCGGTTAATGGGCACTGTATGGAAATGATTATAGATGTTGAAAATAATTCAAATCTATTGGTTAAATTTAATTAATATTAAATAACCTGTTAAGAAAAAATTCAATAAAAATTTACTTAATGTAATTACTTTAATATGTCTAAGTATTTTTCCACGGGTGTATTTGGATGTAAGTAAACTAAAGATATCCAGTTAGAAGATTTGAGTTAAGTTATATTATCAACAATAATTTTGGACAAAACTTGTGCCAAGGGCTAAGACAAAGTGAATTGGATTAATTAATGATATATCCGCTGTTTAATAGGGTTAAGGGTCTTCGAAAACATAAACAATTGTATACTACCTGTAATCGCTATGAAAGTATAAAAATAATTTGTTATGTATTTTTAATCAATTTCATTATTTATAAAACGAATATATAACGTGAAAAAGTTATCATGGAAACGAGAATCCGTAAACGGAATGCTTAATAATTTTATATACTGTTTACTTGATTATTTTGGTGTAAAACTAAAAATGAAATTCGAATTACATTATCAGGAGCATTATGTATCTAAGAGCAATAGCGGATTTGAAAAATAAGTCTATCTAGTTTATTATCATAATAGGCACTCATATTAATATATAATATTATAATTATACATTTGTACATTAACTAAACGAGGGTAAGATAGGAATATAATTTTTTTTTCTATTTTTGTATGCCAAAAATAAATTTGTCCTCGAATAAATTTCTGATTTATAATCAAAATCTAATGATACTGATATTTTTATGAACTGTTGAAACTATATTAATATAATATAAGGGAATTTATACTGCAATCGGATAAGTACTGAAAATAGAAATTTTTCAGTATCGTCGTACATTATGGAACAAAGGTAGATTTATTTTCTTACAAAGTTATAGTATTAAATTAAAAAATCAACTATATTGTGTTCATTTTTTATTGTACAATGGTATTGTCAGACCACTATTCTTAGTTCCTACAAATAAAACTGATAACATAATATGTCAACGAATGCTACACCATTTTAAAAACTAAATCGTTCTTTTCGAATCTTTAATGGTTTTTTTTTTTTAATTTTAATTGAAAAAAGTTTCTTTATATTGAATCGTCTTGAATATAAAAATAAACTTTAATATTATAATAATGGAAAATAAGTCGTTTTTCGTTTTGTATATGCATATTTTAATCTCAATAAACATTGTTAAGTTATGCATGGTTTATTTCATGTATTTATTTTTATTTTTTGTTAACGTTCAGTTCAGAGTTAAGGTATTTATTTATTCATAATAATTTTTCAGAACAGAATATATTCTATATAATTTACCTAACATAACGATTCTCATCATATTGAAAAAAAAAAAACGATTAAAAAGTATTGGATACAATCGTCCAGATTGAAAACGTAACTTCACAACAGACGCTGTTTAAAGTAAAAATGTTATGTACAAAATTTAAGATGGAAAATGTATTTTTAACGCTGATAACGTACAATAGTTGTATTTTAATTTATCATTGTTACTACGTTAACGGTGTTACGATGTAAAAAGCTGTTATTGAACGATCAATCAGCCTTTAGCCGATCAAATAAAATACAAGACTATAATTGCACAATTCTGTTAAAAATTACTTTGATTCGAATTATGCGTGAAGCCTGTTTGTAAATTTTGCCTCTTCGCAGCCAAATGTCGAACGGTCAGCGTGTACGTTAGTATCATAACGCCAAGTGGAATGTAAAAACTCACTATCGATCCAATTAGTTTATACAATGGATCGGGTATTTGACAAGAACCATTTACTAGCACCGAATTGAAATCCTGAAATGAAAACAAAAATTAATTATACAAAATTATAATAGAATATTTACATGTTACTTTGATAAATACGTATTATGCACTATTATTATTTGAATTAAATATCTTATTATATTGTTTCAAACTTTATTAATTTCTAGTGAGTTTAGAAAATAAAAATAATTTAATGATACAATGAATTACATTCAAATCAATAAATATAATAATATAGGTACAATAAAATAATTTATATGGAATTTATATTAGCCTGAAATCTGCTAAAGATAATTCTATAGCCTATAAACATTTAAACCATTAGTTCATTGAAGCTATACATATTATATGGATTATATCCTGATTCACATAGTTTTAAGTATAATTATAAAAATAAATCAATTCAAAATGTTCATTGGCTATGCTGGACTTGACTATAAATGTGTTGCTAAACGATTTAATAGCAAATGTCTATGGTTAGAGCATAAGTCAATAATTGCTTCACGCTGAGATAATTTTATTATAATTGGTTTTAATAAAATAAAATGATTAACTGTATAAACGTAACTGTAACGTTTCTTAAATTTCTTTTACGTAATGATGCCATGGAGATACAATATAAACAAATTTGAATTTATCATACAACGTAAAAACGTTTTGTTCTAAGTATATTATATATTTCATATTAAAACGTAATAGTAATTGTATGTTAAAATTTTATTTATTTATTTATTTTTTTTTTAATAACCATATCAATGTAGGAATTGGATATTAAAAGTATTTATATCCAATTTTGGTTTTTGAATACGTTTATAGTTACATTAATTGTTTGATTGATGTATTAAACCGGGTTTATAATTTTATAATCACAGAAAATAATACAATAACATGATGTATATTATATTACTTATTATTAGTCATTAGTCGTACTATTACCTGATATTTATATCAACGTAATTATTGTTCAATATTTTTTAAAATATTTAAATAAAAAAATATTTTTTTAAGTAAAAGATATAAAATTATATAAAAAAAATATATATTTATCTTATGCATATAGTTCTTATATGCAACGAGATATCTAAAACGGCTTTAGTGATCATAATTTTATTACTTCTCAATATAAAATAAGTGCATGCAAATTTCAATTGTGAAGTGTTCGACAAGTGTTGCGCATAAAGAGCTGACTCAAATATCACTACACTCAACCTTTTTATTGCTTAGGTCACATAGGTATATATTTTGATTTTACATTTCATAGATCGCAATGAAGTAATCTTATTGAGGATCTATATATGTTAAGTGTGGGTGGGGTAAATTTATACATGGTAAAAATATAACAATAAAATTAATTTATAATTATATAAGTATTAGATAAAAATATTTGATTTATGTATACATATATAATTTTTTTTTAAATTGATTTTTTATTTTATTTTATTGAATATTGAGTATTGGCGCTTTAAATGATTTATGTTATTAGAAACAATAATAATATTAAATAATCTCAAGTATCAAAAAATTCAAAAAAAAAATATTATACTGCATACATTTAATATTCAAAGAACACACTTACATTTTTACAAAAATTATATTAAAAATGTATACTTATAGAAGTTGAAATGTAATGGAAATTTAACTTAAATAATTTATTGAAATCAATCACTATTTATTCTATAAAAAAAATATTGTAAATTTTATTTTGCAAAGAGAATAATTTTTATGATAATTAAAAAAATAATAATAATAATAAATAATAGAAATGTTTTATAAAATATGTTTATTTTAGACAAATAATGATTATAGTAAATTAACAAAGAACTAATAGAAGACCAAAATTCTTTGGTAAAAAAAAATTCAAGGAGCATTAAAATTTGAGTTTTTAACTGTAGCCAGTGAAATAAAAAATTTAATAAATTATTAAGGAACATTGTTAATTTATTCCTACCTAGTTAAGCTCAAGAAAACCATAAATTACTTTGAATTTAAAACTATCACTTTTATTCTGTTAATAATTGTACTATTTTTCGTAACAACTTCGGATTTTTTGAAACCAGATAATTGGGTTAATTGGGTAGTCACACAAGAGTAATTTCTTTTAGCTTGTGTTTAAAAAAAAAGTTCATAATAGTTAGCAGGTATTCTCATAAAAAAAAGAATTTAATATTCAAACTATAATTTATTATATTTAACATTTTCATGACAGTACCATTATAAAAATATCAATGCTTATATTTAAAATAAACCATAAAATAACATCATATAATATATTTTTGCACAGTCATTAACATAAACAATAAGTATCAACTATAAAGCTTAGGATAGGTCATATATAGGTTATGCATTTAAAAGTATGCATTAAATTTAACATTTTATATCTTGTAGGTATATGTTATGATATTTGTATGTTTGTAATAATATTGTAGATTAACAGAATAAAATTAAAATTACTATTATTTATTTCACACTTTTGAGGCTTGTAAATGCAATTACAAAATCTAACTTATAAGAATTAGATGTACTGCTACGTTAATTTATTAATTGTTCGAACGTTGATTCAGTGGTATTCTATGCTTTTAATTATTTTTTATGTGCATATAATGACATAGCCTTATGCTATTTTCAGTATACAGTATATTTTGCAGTAAAATATTTTTAATTGTTATAAAATATAATTATACTGATTTATTTAAGTTTTTTTATGTTTAAATATTAAAGATAAATTAGAATAAAAAAAATCACTCAAGACTTTTCACAAAAAAAAAAAATACTGTTTTGTTTATAGCTTCTTTTTTAACGAATAGTATAATGTGTGATTTAAGCACGAATTTAAAGCGTTATACTTGTATCTCAAAAATGTAACGTAAAAAACAATTAATTAAACAATAATACTATGCACTAATATATTCGATTGAAAGTATTTTGAACATTTATACTTTACGACATTAATATAAAATGCACCCTCTTATTGAAGTACTGCCTTTAAGGATGATTATGACCTTATGATGACCAAACCACAGCCACCCTTGGAAAACTATACTAACCTTTTCGTAAACTGTTATACCATTATTCGTCAACAAGAAAAAAAAACTATTAAACGTCCTGCGTGAAAAAAAATTAAAATAAGTTCAACTGAAAAAATAAAATGTTATAACGCGCCGTTGTGAATAGTGAATTTCACGTTTAATTATTTTGATATAAAACCGATTAATACACTCTTCTTGAGCATATAAATTATTAATATCCTGTCACTATTCTGGAATTTTTTCGTGTGTTTTTAAGCATATTTCATGTACCATAAATTAATTATAGTATTAATTATAGTAGTTAGGAGTATTATCAAATTCAAATATAAATAAGTTTATTAAAATGAAAGTATTTATTTTATAACTAACAATAACAATTATTGTCTACAGTTGTTGTAAGTAGTTTAAAATAACAAGTATGTTAGTGTTAATGTAGTTGTGAATTAATTGATTTTACTTATTCATACATTTTATACTAATTTAAAATTGAAAAGAGATGAAATGGTTTTCAAATTATGTTATTCTTCATTCGAGAAATAAATTGTTGATTCATTCAAATTTGATGCTTATAGATTAGCTTATATTTCGTATTTTATGTTCATTATGAAAATGATAATCTTGCATACAATATTACTAAAATTGATTCATTTTTTTTTTTTTTCATTATTTTAACGCACATCTTCTTCTCATCATTCCAAGTATTTATTTTTTTTTTTATGTTTAAAATACACCAGGTTGCATAGCTATATTTTATATTTTTTATATAATGATATACAATTATCGCTATATGTTATCTTGAACGACCAATTCACCACATCGTCGTTAGTTTTAGTCAGACAGCATCACAGCCACACTGGTCGTCGCGAATAAACGCTGCATGGACGCGTTTGACGTCGGAAGGCGTACAATAAATTGGCCTGCTAACCTTTTGCCGGCTATGCGGCCAAAGTTATGTACGTATTATGTGAAGACGTGCGGGTCTGACCTGACACACACCGGACGTATAATAAGGCACGACATGTGGCTAACTTGCCCATTCGAACTGTTCTCGGTAACCATACACGCGTTCGGTAACAAATAGTTATCACGTCGTAATGTTATTATGCACGTAACGTTTTCAAGTTGTCGCCATGAGCTAAGACGGTACATATTATGTTGGACTACTAATGCGGACTAGGCGGTTATAAATCATAACCGATCAAGGGAGCACCGTCAAAATCAAAAAGGATAATAGCCGCGAAGACGATCGCAGCCGTCAACAACAACAACCGCCGACGGCGCCGGACATCTCCATGCGGCGTTAGGTCATTCCCAGCGCAAAATAGGCGCCACCGTGGATTTCGGCGTGAATTTTGGCTTTCTCCAATGCTGCCGGACATCTCCACACAATGTTGAAGTTTTCCCGAACACTGTTAGGCGCCACCGCCTAGCCGACGTGATAGGCGAAACTGTGTCTATTAATATGGGTACGAATCACAGGCCCAGTCAAAAAACGCGCGTGGTTCTACAGGAACCGGACAGCTACTATCAACGAAAAATCAATGAAAACAACAGAACGAATTACAGTCCACTCCGATTTAAAGAGCTTGTCGGAGTAGAACGAGTCCATTAATTTTTGTTTTATATTATCTAGTTTATGCATTATCAATATTTTACGCATATTACTCATCGGTATCGTTCATGCAATGTGCATTTCGAATATTTCAGAATTTTCGTACACATTTTTTTCTATTTCAAAGTGCTTAAGTGCATGCGTATTTCATGGTTGTTTTATTGCGTTAAACTCGCAGTCCTGGATAGAACTATTACTATACATATATATAAATAATAGGTTTTCTAATGGTTTTCACAATTTAATGCACAATTTAAAATATAATATATCGCTTTTTAGGTGGTAGTCAATAAATTATTTTTACAATTTACGTGAAAACCTCATCTACTCCAATTGCAGCGTATCACATAACGTGATATATTGTTTGATCAGTCGTATAGCATTACAATTGTTATAGAGACACATTCGGGTTATTATGGTATATTACAAACTAATACGTTATGTTCCTTAAATAGAAAATAGACTTTTATAACAAAGATTTAGGTTGTTACCGGAATGCTGTGATAATAAAAGGAGACAAAATGTAACTATAATATTGTATACAGCGAGTTCTCGGCGGGAGGCCAAATAAGACATAGAGATATTTTAACGGAGATAAAATATAGTTGAAGATATTTTACCCGCTTGGTTGAATAACACTAGACTAATAATAATCACTGTCACGTCAACAAACATTTTTCACCGAACAGAAAATGGATTTTTCTAATTTAAAACAGTTTTTTATTTTCGCTTTTCCTATATGCATTTTATTCACGTTAATTTTATTTTTAAGACATGCACATTTAGAAATATGCTGACACCCCTGCAAACAAGAGGTGGCGATGGTGACGGCAAAGAGGGCCTAGAGTATGACTCTTGTATTCTTATAGAAAATCGTTGTTTTCGTTTATTTTTCAATAAGCGTATAGGATAATAGGTAATCGTTATAGTCAATATATATATATATAAGAAAAGTTTAAACAATTAGCTGTATAGGAATGACGTATTTTTCAATATTAATTTAACACATTATTTAACAAGTCAAATTAATTATAATAATCAATAACAAGAATACAATTAATGTGGTAATCGTTAACAACATATGACTATATTATATTATATTATTAATATACGAATATTGTAAACTCAAAATGTTGTTGATTAATATTAACTAATTGTTTTTAAGTTATTTTTTATAATGTGCTTTACTGCTTTTTGCCTTGAATATTATTACGTTGGATATTTCTTTGAATTCATAAAAATATATTGGAATGGGTAGAATGAAGTTATAAATTAAGTTTCCCAACAACAGATTTACAATATATGATTCGTTATGAAGCAAATAAAAATGGTTAGTTATAAGATCATATTAATAGTATTAATTATTTTTTATGTGTAAAAACCATTCAAACAGTTAAATTATGATGGTAAATGATTTTTATTCAATACTTTATTTTGAATAGAAAATTAAAATTCGTATTTCCCTTTTTTAAAAATGTGTTCGTTGCTCCCGGTGAAAAACAATCCTGCACTACTGCAAGTTCCGGCTTCAACAAGCCGATATAAGTATTGTTCACAGGTTTTTGTCATCATAAAATTTAACATAATATTATTAATGGTAAAGACATAATTGTATAATATTTGCCTCTTAAAATTGATGATTAGACGCGCACGGTCATAAATTTATTTTAGTCAGTTTCGTTCATACTGTTTAAAAATATAATTTTAATTCATATTAAAATTATTTTCAAACATTAAAATTGAAAATATGGTTTATAAAAAAATCAAAAATGTAATATTGTTTAGTGTTAAACCATCATAAATGGACATTTAACATAACATACTGTATAAAAATATTGCATAATAAATGCAACATTATGAAACATAACGAATTTTGAACGATTCGAAATAAACGAAACAAGACCAGGAATGCAGAGCGCCATCTAAATACCGGAGAACATGGAATGCCAAAATCTATTACAACACTCAGTACAAGCACATAACTGAGTCTGGGACTTTCAACGACAATAATTTATATTTACTGGGTAACTGCAATAAAAGCCATTTCATTTCAATTTAAACATATTATATAATAATAAAAATAATATCGCATTATTATTACAATATCAAGCATCATAAATTAGTACATTGTTCACTAATGTCTAAATCTGCGTTTTTAAAATTAAGTAACATTAAAACAAAAAAATAGGTCTTATTAGTAATGAGAAAACGTCACAATAAGACCTTGGTTTTAAATGCATTTTTTATTTTATTACTTGATACGATACTCTTTTCAAGTTCAATGTGTTTTAATCTCTTAAATTTAACATTTTTCGTGGCTTTTAATAAAATATAGGCCATTTTTTTATTTGTAAATCTAGCTATTTCTAGGAATATAAATATATATATAATTACCATTTACGTATATTGTATATAAATTTATAATATGTATTTTTTTTACATATTTTGACTATACCACATTGCAATCTGATTTTTAACACTAATCTCGAAATTATTTTAATGCACATTTTTAAGCGATAACATAGTTTTAGATGTATCCCATGGCTTGAAGACGTAAATAATGATTTATTTTAGAATATTTAATATTTAATATAGGTGTATTTTTTGTTAACGCTTCACTTTAAGATTATGTAATAAAAATTATTTAAAATAGTCTAATTCGCAGGAAAGTTACATGAATTAGTAAAATAATTTAGTAGTTATGAATTTTTGAGTTAAATATTTTTTATATAATGTTATAAGTGTCCTTAAAATATAACCATATACGTATAAAATGAATTCAAGTAGTGTTGAACATAAATATTACTATACCAAAAACAAACACTTTAGCTCAATTGAATTAAATTTTAAATTATTTTAAACAAGTCATAACAATATATGTAATATTCCTTTTAAACTTTTTCATCCAAAGATGATCTCGCTTTAAAATGCAAACTTTCAATAAGATTATTATTTTTAGCTTGGTTTCTTAGTTTAATATTACAAAAAAATATTTTTAAACTTTCTATGTAAAGTTTACTCTCTTAAAAATTTACATTATTTAATATACTTTATAGTAAAATCTTGATTCACTGAATCAAATAATTGGAACAGTTTTTACTTTTGATTTTTTTGATGTATACTGTTTTTTTTTGATTTTATCTCTTTTAAAAACTATTTTAGTGTTAATGTTTTAATTAACAATAAATCATAAATATTTGATTTTTTTTTAATAAAATGAAAATAAAAACGATAAAAATAATAATATATGTTCAGATATGCATATTTTATCAAAACCCAAATCGAGTGTTTGATCTGTAAAAAATATTTCAAAAAGACAATATAAAAAAATAAAATCGTAAAATTACATGTTTGACGGTTACTTTCAAAGAATAAATATATATTATGTTTAAGAATATATGTAGTATAAAAACGCGTGAACTATAACTTCTACTATCAACTATACGTTAGCAATCAATAGTATAGAATATATTATAGCAATTCTTGTGTGAGTTATAGGACATTCTGAACAAGTCAACTTGAAATATTATATTTAAATATAAAAATATAATTTATAATATAAATTTATACTGAAATTTCGTTTTAAAATGAATACCTTTAAAAACTAAAATTAAAATAATATTTACGAAATCAGCACGGAAATCTATATATGATTGCATTGAGTTTAAATGTATAGTAATATCTCAAACAACGCAAATCGCAATACCATTCATTTGATTCATTATTTTGACAACAAAACGTATTATTATTATGTTAAATTTAACATTTATATTGTAAATATAAGAGTTATGTGCGTGCGTGATTACGACAAAAAGTAAGTTTAGTAACGGTGGAAAAATATTTCAACGCATACATCTACTCTACCGTTTCACTTTATTCCACTCTCCGACCAGCATGTCATTTTGATTTTATATCAACTGATTTTCGTATCTTTTCGAGTGGAATATCTTTAAAATTTAAGTTTTAATCGAAAATTAAACCACCTCTGGGTTTATTGTCATTGTTTCATCGTAAGGAAAAATACGATGACACACCACGATAGCGATATAGTTTTAGTTATAGTGTTGTAAATAATTATGCATGTAGCGGAGGAAAGAAATAGTAGTTTGTAAATAAAAAAATGAAGTAGTCCAAAGTTTAATGGGATGCGATAGGCCAAAAGAGGAAACCACAAAATCACTACGTATAATAATAATAATACATAATAATTAACACGTATATATTATTATACAGTATATAATATAGGAAAACTTACTTTTGAGTACATGAGGCTCAGGGGCAAACTCATCGCTATCGACAACAACCACACAAACACGATCTTTAGAATCACCCTTCGTCGCGTTTTGTTCCGACCAAATTTCATCGGATATCTCAGGCTCAAGTACCGGTCTACGCTGATCGTGCACAAGTGCATTATACTTGCGGTACAAAACAACACGTCCAAACATATCCACGCCAGACAATACACTGGGGCCAACGGGAACACTCCTGGAAAACGCAAGAAAATAAACTTTTTTATAACCATAAAAATGACAAACAATATAAACGAGGCTACAATAATATATAATATTTAAAGTTAAAATATAAAATTAAAATATTTCATTATTTTTATTTTCATTTTTTTTTTTTAGATCAATTAAAAATTTAAAATTTAAAAAAATTTTTTATCATTTAAATGTCCAAAATAGCGAACATTAATTTACCTTGATTCGCAGTAATGCAATTTTTGTACGAGGTAGGTAAGTTTATCAACAATAAATATCTGCCGAGTATCCAATATGTTTTTACCTTATCCAACAAAAGACATAGCAATTGTTTCAATGTTCAATAAGTATATTATTTTATCATCCGTTAATATATATATATCACTATGCAATTGTATCTAACAATCGCTAAAAATTTTATTTTTTATTTTTACAAAACTATAGACAATTACATACAAGTACTTAATATGACTAAACGCATGAAAACTTATTGGGAAAACACGTTTCCTCCTTCAAAAACTTTTACAGTATTCTATATTTAATACATTAAGTAATATTTTTTAATATTTTTTTTTATTTAATTTAAATAGTACGAGTATATTATATAGAAATGTATATTCGTTTTAAAGAAACATCAATAAACGTTTTGACGATTTGTATAATATGATTTCTATTTGTAAAATATAATGATATGGAATGTTACAATTTTACAATACGTTTTGCCAATACAGTATGTTAATTTTTCTTGAAAAAAATAAATATTTTTTATGTCTTATAAGTATTTTACAGTAACTATCTACATTTTATCATACTTCCAATTAACTTTAATATTCATAGATTAAAAATTGTGTAACATATAGTATACATTAATCAGAAAACACAATTTTTATATAATCTTGGATAAAAAATTATAAATATTATTATATCGTATATTTTGTTTGAAGATAAATATTATACATCATATACATTTATATATATATACAAGTTCTAATAATAACATATATTTATAATAATAATAAATAAAATGACGCGCGTGCGACCTGATCTCTGGCGATTCTGGGGACTTGTGGCTTGATGAATTATGGATGGTCGAGCGGAATCGACGAAATGGGATGGTGACACCACGGTTCGCCCTGCTTTGGACGGACGGGCGGATAAAGGCATGGTTACCGTGAAAAAGGAACGAATATAAGTATTCGGATAGCTAAAAAACACAAAAAAATGCACGAGGGAAAAAAATATTGGCGGTCTTGACGGCGACACGACACCGGATCGTCACGCTATACACCCGCAGTATACGACAGTTTATCGATGCAGACGGACTTCTGGGGCGAGGAGCTGGCGATTAAGCAGTCGCGCGATATTGTCCCCCACACAGGGGGGTACAAAGATCAAAAAACGTGACGTGTCGGAGACAGCGTTACGGTGTGACAACGTTGCAAAACGCAGTGTTGTGGCAACACCGCGCCAAAATCAAAATGTTTGGTTTTGTACCCGACATACTATTTACCGTACTATACTTATTAACAACTTTTATCACATATTATTTTATTTACACTAAAAGTACAATATAATACTATTTATTTTTCAAACATTTAAAGAGTCTCTCCTCACCACAAATCACGATATAATATTATGATTTAACTACCTAGTATTGAAAAATATATAGTATAATGTTTTCAGTTGACACAATGATATGATATAAATAGGAATAAAAATTGTTTGACAATAATATTGTTGTGTGACATAAAAACCCGTATTGTAATTTTATACCAACTTGCGTTGTTATATATTTTTTTAAATCATATAACGGCTCATAGAATAGATTTCCTTGCTTTATGACATTAAACATATAATATACGATTATTATTATACGTTTTCCGCACGATTTCGAATAATTACTCCAATTAATATGTCTCCACCGGCAAGTTATATAATAAAATTTTTTTTTTTTTAAAGTTACATAAAATTTAATAATAATATGCGTTAAGCGCCTATCGACCACGTCTCCGTAGTATAGTAGCTATATAGTTTTAGTGGCCATCCCGTAGATATTTTTACACCTTTGAAATTATTGCAGATTTATGTTCTACAATACATAATAACATAACACTTTAATTTCTTATAGGAAATCCATTGTTGGTTGTAATAATTTTTCTATAATTTTGAAATACTATCCACTGCACCGTCCGGTAAACGCATAACATATAAATCACAGAATGTTTTAGACATAAATTTGGCCCAGGGTAATAATAATATTGAATAATTTTGCTTGTAAATGTTATTATATTATAATATAACGAAAAAGAAACTGACATTTTTTTTTTTCAAGGAGCACTGCATAGGCAATTTGTCTTGTTAGACGTAGTATATATTATTATGCAAATGACTGTTGGCTCGTGTAAGCCGTTTATCATGATGTTAAAAAATATTTCTGCACATTTAGGTAAATATATGTTTTTTTCCTTTTACGACAATGAAATTATAATACTTTTTAATCCCTATGTAGGTATAACGATAAAAATATATTATTTTTCTTTCCATAAACTTTACAAGCACAGGGCTGAAAATTTTATTTCAGACTGTCTTCCTTAATAAATTTCTAAATACAATAATATCATTATCATTTGTTTGACAGTCATACGTAAAATATCACTATAACGACAATGGTTTTGAAAAAATATTTTAATCTAGAGAAATAATTGTTTACAGTAGGTATTTACGTAATTTTGTAACTGTATGTTTTATGACTGAAATATGTTAGAAACATTTATGAGTTCCGAGTTCCTTAGAATTTGTATCATTATGTACGGACAAATAGCATAGAGTCTCAGCTTACTCAAATTCCGGTAAGATATCACCAAGGACTTGCATTCTTATTATATACCTAGTTACTTAGAATTTTGGGCTGTTTACTACCATTATTCACAATAACAAGACATATAGTAGAATACTATTGGAAAATTTTACAAACAAATATGCACTAAAATATTTATAGCATTTTCAACATAAATTTTTGTTTTTTTTTCTTTGATGATGCTCATCTTAAAAAAAAACCGACTTCCATGTAAAAAAAAAACGATCCAATGTCAAAACCATCTAAAGGTTTCTGCTTAAGTTAAAAAGTTAGTATAATGGATAGACTGACCTCGACGAATGCCAGTTTTTATACAATTGAAAAGAATAATAAATCATCAGATCTTGAAAAATGAATCTTATAGTATGGTGTTCGGTGGTATATATAAATCGAAAAACATGATTTTAAGCCAAAGTGGAATAACGCAATGTGTTTTAGTGTACGTTTTCACAACACAAGAAATATATATACCTAAGTAACTAAAATATATATATATTTCACATTTTATAAAAGTATATGGAAATGCCTCAAAAATGTTTTTTAATGCAATGTATTAAGTATATTATTTAAATAGGAATTTAGATCGATTGATATTAACAAGTCTTCAGGAGTACACATGAACAAAGTATTCACTAAAGCCTCTTTAATAAAAATAATTAAAAAATAAGGTAGATCGTAACCACTGAGAAAATAATTCGTATTATATGTTATTTATAATTTTAAAACGTTATATTTTTTTTAAGTACAGTTGATTATCGATAATTCAAAGTCGATGGGACTATGAACATTTTCGAATTACCGGAAAATTAGGCAGTGTTAAAGTTATTTATTGCTTTTAAAATGTAAGTATAAAACTATAATTATTATTAAATATATTAAATTAATTATGCATATTGAATTACTATTATAAAATATTAATATTTTTTGAAGAAATCAGTTATTATTTTCTTATTGTCTTTCTATTATTAAACTTAATTTCACCATTTTAATATTATTTTTTTTGAGTAAATAAAGTTTCAAAAATCTCGACACTGACTTCTGACTGAAGCGTTAAGTGACGTTATTTCTCCAATGATGAACTGACTTCTATCAAAATCACAACAAGTAGAGAATCTGTGTTGTATTCAATGTCTTCACCAACGCTTTAAGTGTTCTCCAAAATGTTGGCGTCAGAGAGGACTTCCCCCTTTACCAATCTACATTTAAATAATCAATGAAAAATACATTTTCTTGAGCTGACAGAAAATCCCACTATAACAGTTCAATATTTACCTGGTAATTTTTTATTTCTTGAATTTCTATGATAAAGCCCGATTTTTTAAAATACTTGAGTATTGTAAAAAGACCCACATTTTTCCACGTCTTATAAACAAATATCATAACTGTCAATACACTACCTAATAATATTTGGCATCTGTTTACTTTCAATACATTCCAAAACGTTCCGTAAATCTTCTTAACAGTAAAAAGTTTTACAATTCCTAATTTTACCTTGGTTGAGTGGATGCAACTTTGATGTAGTATTAGGAGGAAAAAATTTAAGTTCTTTACCATTTGCGAACTATATAGTTGTCTAAAAACAGTAGAATTTTGCATTTCTGTTTTTTCATATCTACATTGAGTAAAACCAACCATTCATTAAATAACTCCATCGTCATCAATGCCTTTTAGTTTAGAGAGGATTAAAATACTAATTGCTTTCGATATAGTAGGTACTTACGATGATAGTTTTTTAGTTATTAAAAATATTAAGTTAAATTTATATACAACTATATAGTAAGTTATTAACGAAAAGATTATGAAAAATACATTTGGTGAATATACTTTAGATTGTCACATATTAGTGGTCAGTTTTTCCAAAATTAAAATTTCAAATTACCGTGAGATTTTCAAGAAAACGAGCATTTGCTTCTAATTACCGGAAGTTTCGAATTATCGAAGGTTTGAATTATCAAGAATCGACTATAGGTAGTTTTTAAGGTTATCTGTTTGTGATTTAAATAATTTCCAAGATGCTTGAGCGATCGCTAATTGTTCATAATATATTGTTTAACACATAAATAACTAAACACGAAAATTAATGTTTGATGTCTTGGTGTATAGTTGGTGTGTAATTCAAATCTCAAAAAATAACTATTGACAGAATT